ACCCGAATACCTCCAAAGCAATGTAGCCTCAGGGTCACCTTTACCATCGAACTTCAGAGGTATCAATTTCAGATATTTCTCAACCAGTTATTGCATCTGTCTGACTGCATTAACTTGCCATTGACCTTGATTTCCGGCACAGTTTAATCAGTTTAAGGTGTGCTACAACTGTCAGAAAGAGACTTGGTCTCTGAATGAGCTCATCTCACACTGTGTCCAAGAGGAGGAAAGGCTGAAGCAAGATAAGACAGAAAGTGCTCATCTAACCTCAACTTCCAAGGATAAGGGAATGAAAAGGAAGAAGGATAAAGAAGCTGCAACCTTGGCAAACAAAAGGAAACAACAACAGAAACAGGATGATCCGGAAAGCACAGGTTGTTTCTTTTGTAAAGCCACGGGACATGTGAAGAAGAATTGCACCAATTATCACGCATGGCGTGCTAAGAAAGGTGTGCTTCTTAATTTGGTTTGTTCTGAGGTTAATTTAACTTCGGTACCTAGACACACTTGGTGGGTAGATTCTGGTGCAACAACTCACATCAGTGTGTCTATGCAAGGTTGCCTGAGTTGCCGAAAGCCAAGTGATGTTGAAAGATACATCTATTTGGGCGATGGCAAGACGGTTCAAGTTGTAGCAATTGGAAAATTTAGATTATTATTAAAGACTGGATTATATTTGGATCTTGATGAGACATTTATTGTACTGTCTTTTAGACGGAACTTAATTTCCATTTCTGCTTTGGACAAATCTGGTTATTCTTGTTCATTTGGGAATGGAACATTCAGTTTGTTTCAAGATTCAAAATTAGTTGGTTCCGGTTCTTTATCAGTTTATGATAATCTTTATTCACTTGATGTGATTGCTTCTTTTAATGAATCCCTGCATTTGAGTACACGAGGTACAAAGAGAAAATTAACCGATGAGAATTCAGCTGCTCTATGGCACAAGAGATTAGGTCATATCTCCAAGCAAAGGATAGAGAGACTTGTGTCAGATGAAATTCTCAATCCTTTAGACTTCACAAATTTCGAAATTTGTGTTAATTGTATAAAAGGCAAACAAACCAATAAAAGGAGATTTGTAGCCAACAGGACTTCAAACGTCTTAGAACTTATCCATACTGATATTTGTGGACCGTTTCCAACGGCTGCTTGGAATGGTCAGCAATATTTTATAACGTTCATAGACGATTTTTCAAGATATGGCTACATATATCTCATTAAAGAAAAGGCGCAGTCACTGGATGTGTTCAAAACATATAAAATCGAAGTTGAGAATCAACTCAACAAGAAAATTAAAAGCGTCAGGTCTGATCGTGGTGGTGAATACTACGGCAGATATGACGGTTCAGGTGAGCAATGTCCAGGACCGTTTGCTAAATTCCTAGAGGAATGCGGTATCGTCCTACAGTACACTATGCCGGGTTCGCCTACAATGAATGGTGTTGCTGAAAGACGAAATAGAACGCTTAAGGATATGGTGAGGAGTATGATTTGTTCTTCTACCTTATCAAAATCACTCTGGGGAGAAGCGCTTAAGACTGCAGCATATATCCTTAACAGGGTTCCAACTAAAGCAACTATCAAAACCCCTTATGAACTTTGGACTGGTAAAAAGCCTAGTCTAAAGCATTTACGCGTTTGGGGATGTCCAGCTGAGGCAAGGCCTTATAAGCCTAATGAAAGGAAACTGGATTCAAGAACAATAAGTTGCTACTTTATTGGATACCCTGAAAGATCAAGGGGGTACAAATTTTATGATCCTACAGCTAAGTCGATTTTTGAGTTGGGAATTGCCCGGTTCTTTGAGGATGTTGAGTTTGCGAGAGAAGATACAGTTAGGGACCTTGACTTTGAAGAGGAATCTATTAATGTTCCTACACCTGCCGTTGACATTGATCCCACAAATGCCATTGTCATTGATCGGGACACAACTGATCAGGACAATGAAAGAGAACCTCCCATTCAAGAAATTATTCCAGAAAATCAAACTCTACCACCTCAAGAACATATGCCATTAAAAAGATCCACTAGAGAGAGGAGAAGTGCAATGCCAGATGACTACATTGTATTTCTCCAAGAGCATGATTTTGATATTGGAATGATGGAAGATGATCCAATTACCTTTCGTCAAGCCATGGAAAGTTCGAACTCTTAGAAGTGGAATGATGCCATGAAGGAGGAGATGAAGTCCATGAGAGACAATGACGTTTGGGATCTTGTCCCATTGCCAGAAGGTGTGAAGCCCATTAGTTGTAAATGGATATTTAAAACCAAAAGGGATTCAAAAGGCAATGTGGAGAGATATAAGGCTCGTCTTGTCGCAAAGGGCTTTACACAGAAACAAGGCATTGACTATAAAGAGACTTTCTCTCCAGTTTCTTCGAAAGACTCTTTTAGGATTATAATGGCATTGGTGGCGCATTTCAATCTTGAATTGCATCAGATGGATGTAAAGACAGCGTTTCTCAATGGTAACATTGATGAAATAATATATATGGTGCAGCCAGAAAACTTTGTATCTGAAGATCCAAAGAGTATGGTTTGTAAACTTAAGAAATCCATCTATGGGCTCAAGCAAGCATCTCGACAATGGTATTTTAAGTTTCATCAAGTGATCGTCTCATTTGGCTTTGAGATGAATTTGGTTGATGAATGTATATACTATAAGTTCTGTGGGAGCAAGTACATTTTTCTGGTTTTGTATGTTGATGATATCTTGCTTGCCAGCAACGATATAGGCTTATTGCACGAAACCAAGAGATTTCTGTCTAATAACTTTGAGATGAAAGATCTTGGTGACGCCTCTTTTGTATTAGGTATACAAATACACCGGGATCGCTCTTGGGGTATTCTTGGATTATCACAAAAGAGCTATATCGAAAAGGTTCTCAAAAGGTATGGCATGCAAGATTGTAAACCAGGTGATACCCCTGTATCTAAAGGAGACAAGTTTTGTCTCAATCAGTGCCCTAAGAATGATTTTGAAAGAAAGGAAATGGAGAAGATTCCTTATGCATCTATAATAGGGAGTCTGATGTATGCTCAGGTTTGTACGCGTCCGGATATTACGTACAATACTAGAATGTTGGGCAGATATTTAAGCAATCCAGGAGTAGACCATTGGAAAGCAACCAAACGGGTCTTGCGATACTTACAGAAAACAAAAGGATACATGCCCACATATCGGAGGTTGGATCAGCTTGAGATCATTGGTTATACTGACTCCGATTTTGCTGGATGCCAAGATAGTTTGAAGTCTACATCAGGCTATGTCTATCTGTTAGCCGGAGGTGCCATCTCATGGAAGAGTGCCAAACAGTCCATAACGGCCTCTTCAACTATGGCAGCAGAATTCATAGCATGTTATGAAGCATCCAATCATGGAATATGGCTGCGAAATTTTGTCACGGGACTACGGATAGTGGATAGCATTGAAAGACCACTCAAGTTATTATGTGACAATAAATCAGCAGTTTTATATTCTAACAACAACAGAGGCTCGTCGAAGTCAAAGCATATAGACATCAAGTTTCTTGTTGTTAAAGAAAGAATTCAGAGTGGACAGTTGTCTATAGAACATATTGGTACAAACTCCATGCTTGCGGATCCGCTTACTAAGGGATTGCCACCCAAGGTGTTCCATGAGCATACTGCTCGTATGGGTGTTATGTTTATTGAGGATATTCAGTCTTAGTGGGAGTTTGTAATTTAAATGTTCTTAATATAGACATTTTCAGTTATTTCGGTATATGGATTTTTGAGGTTATTTTCTGCAGAAATATCAGGATTTATTCACACTCTAATTTTGGTAAATTCTGATCTCACTAAGGTTTAAGGTGGACCAGTTGGAAATAGGCATGTTAATATCACATTTCATGAAATTTCCATGCTACACATCCACATCATAATCCATGTCATTCAGTTGTATCAATTTTGTGACCATTGATGGGTTGAGTTACGATAGATGTGACAAAAGCCGCTTTGATCCTATATTGATATAATTGATGGACCGGATTGGTTAGAGATACATTTCGGTAATGACAGTAAAGTTGAGCTCAAACAGTTGTTATTGCAAAGCATAATTATAAGGATACACATATAATCCAAGTGGGAGATTGTTGGATCCTTAATCCAACGTTGGGTTATATGTGAAATAATAATGCAATGCATACTGTCATATAAAATTAAGCCCTTTAAAAGTGATAAATTAAGTTAAGGTAATTTAGGGCTTTAATGTATCAAATAGGGTGTGGCCCTTTAATGTGTAGAGACTAAAAGGGGAAATTACAATTTTATGATGGGCAAAATTGTAATTTCTAAAGGGTAACATTAGGGTTACCTTATAAGAGCGGTTATGGTCCCCAGAATGTACGTAAGTTACTGATTCCTCTTCATCCCATCGAAAGAGAGAAATACAAAGAGAATTCAAAGGGAACTCTCAGAAAAAAAAAAAACGTATTGTTCTGGAAGGCTACCCGCACGACACCGAAGAACAGTCTACGCTATGGATTCAAGTTCGCTTCCGTGTTTATGCTTTCTCAATGAATTATACATGTATGATCCTGTTTCGTTGATGGTTTTCAACGGTTCATCGATTTTCGGAATCTAACAATTGGTATCAGAGCAGTATACATGTTAATTCATTGGTTTTAGGGTTCGGTTTTAACAATTTGTGATATTAGAGTTCGTGCGGATGTTTGCGCAACGAAGCAAAATCGATTTTTAATACTGTACAGTATTTTTTCGAATTTTTAAATTTGTCAAAAGTGAATTTTGATGTTAAATCTGGAATCCTGACGGCGAGACGATTCTGAGGATGGGCAGTGCGCCTCCGTCGGAGGCCGCACGCGCCCGCACGCGCTCCACGCGCCGTCGGGCACCAGCACGCGTGAGATTCACGCGCCTGAAGTACAGGCGCAACAAAATTTTTTTTTAATGAAATAGCAATTAAAATTCAAATTTTGGTGGAGGAATATATATCTTGAAATAAATTGATTGAAGCAACATGTCCACAAATGGACCTCTCTTGTGTAAATTAATTTATTTTAAGATATAAAAGGTACGCGCATGTGATGCATGTGGATTTTTTAACCAGCCCAAAGGAAGGTTAATATTTAACAAAATCACATTTGCAACTGCGGTGATTAACATGTGATGATTATTTGGATTTTGTATGTGAGTAATAAATCGACCCAAAGGAAGTTTTATTGTTTGACATACTATTATTATCAATGTTTGATTACTGCAACAAGATATCACTTACTAGTTAATATTGTTGTCCAAAGACAAGGTATTAATGTGGTGCTCGATGTCTTGAGATGGGAATTACCTTGATTTGAATTGATATATTGCTTTGAGACTTACGTGAGCATGTTTTATTGGTTGTATTTGAATTCAGCTATTACTCGTGCGAATATTACTGCCAGCATTTATTCAATTCCTATGCTAAATGGCACCAACTTCAAGTCATGGCAAGAGAACCTTCTGATAGTTCTCAGAGTTATGGATCTCGACCTTGCGTTAAGGATCGATTCTCCTACACCACTTAATGATCAAAGCACCTCTGATCAAAAGAGGGATATGGAAAGGTGGGAGAGATCAAATCGCATGTGTATGATGATCATGAAGAAAGCCATTCCAGAAGCATTCCGGGGCACAATGTCTGAAAAGATAACCACAGCTAAAGAATTCCTTACTGACATTGAAAAGAGATTTGTCAAGAGCGAAAAGGCTGAAATTGGTACGATCTTGACAAATTTAATTTCAATGCGCTACAAAGGGAACGGCAATATTAGGGAGTACATCATGGAGATGTATCATCTTGCTTCTAAGTTAAAAGCACTTAAGCTGGAACTCACTGAGGACTTGCTGGTGCATCTGGTTTTAATATCTCTTCCGGCACAGTTTAATCAGTTTAAGGTGTGCTACAACTGTCAGAAAGAGACTTGGTCTCTGAATGAGCTCATCTCACACTGTGTCCAAGAGGAGGAAAGGCTGAAGCAAGATAAGACAGAAAGTGCTCATCTAACCTCAACTTCCAAGGATAAGGGAATGAAAAGGAAGAAGGATAAAGAAGCTGCAACCTTGGCAAACAAAAGGAAACAACAACAGAAACAGGATGATCCGGAAAGCACAGGTTGTTTCTTTTGTAAAGCCACAGGACATGTGAAGAAGAATTGCACCAATTATCACGCATGGCGTGCTAAGAAAGGTGTGCTTCTTAATTTGGTTTGTTCTGAGGTTAATTTAACTTCGGTACCTAGACACACTTGGTGGGTAGATTCTGGTGCAACAACTCACATCAGTGTGTCTATGCAGGGTTGCCTGAGTTGCCGAAAGCCAAGTGATGTTGAAAGATACATCTATGTGGGCGATGGCAAGGCGGTTCAAGTTGAAGCAATTGGAAAATTTAGATTATTATTAAAGACTGGATTATATTTGGATCTTGATGAGACATTTATTGTACTGTCTTTTAGACGGAACTTGATTTCCATTTCTGCTTTGGACAAATCTGGTTATTCTTGTTCATTTGGGAATGGAACATTCAGTTTGTTTCAAGATTCAAAATTAGTTGGTTCCGGTTCTTTATCAGTTTATGATAATCTTTATTCACTTGATGTGATTGCTTCTTTTAATGAATCCCTGCATTTGAGTACACGAGGTACAAAGAGAAAATTAACTGATGAGAATTCAGCTGCTCTATGGCACAAGAGATTAGGTCATATCTCCAAGCAAATGATAGAGAGACTTGTGTCAGATGAAATTCTCAATCCTTTAGACTTCACAAATTTCGAAATTTGTGTTAATTGTATAAAAGGCAAACAAACCAATAAAAGGAGATTTGTAGCCAACAGGACTTCAAACGTCTTAGAACTTATCCATACTGATATTTGTGGACCGTTTCCAACGGCTGCTTGGAATGGTCAGCAATATTTTATAACGTTCATAGACGATTTTTCAAGATATGGCTACATATATCTCATTAAAGAAAAGGCGCAGTCACTGGATGTGTTCAAAACATATAAAATCGAAGTTGAGAATCAACTCAACAAGAAAATTAAAAGCGTCAGGTCTGATCGTGGTGGTGAATACTACGGCAGATATGACGGTTCAGGTGAGCAACGTCCAGGACCGTTTGCTAAATTCCTAGAGGAATGCGGTATCGTCCCACAGTACACTATGCCGGGTTCGCCCACAATGAATGGTGTTGCTGAAAGACGAAATAGAACGCTTAAGGATATGGTGAGGAGTATGATTTGTTCTTCTACCTTACCAAAATCACTCTGGGGAGAAGCGCTTAAGACTGCAGCATATATCCTTAACATGGTTCCAACTAAAGCAACTATCAAAACCCCTTATGAACTTTGGACGGGTAAAAAGCCTAGTCTAAAGCATTTACGCATTTGGGGATGTCCAGCTGAGGCAAGGCCTTATAAGCCTAATGAAAGGAAACTGGATTCAAGAACAATAAGTTGCTACTTTATTGGATACCCTGAAAGATCAAGGGGGTACAAATTTTATGATCCTACAGCTAAGTCGATTTTTGAGTCGGGAATTGCCCGGTTCTTTGAGGATGTTGAGTTTACGAGAGGAGATACAGTTAGGGACCTTGACTTTGAAGAGGAATCTGTTAATGTTCCTACACCTGCCATTGACATTGATCCCACAAATGCCATTGTCATTGATCGGGACACAACTGATCAGGACAATGAAAGAGAACCTCCCATTCAAGAAATTATTCCAGAAAATCAAACTCTACCACCTCAAGAACATATGCCATTAAGAAGATCCACTAGAGAGAGGAGAAGTGCAATGCCAGATGACTACATTGTATTTCTCCAAGAGCATGATTTTGATATTGGAATGATGGAAGATGATCCAATTACCTTTCGTCAAGCCATGGAAAGTTCGAACTCTCAGAAGTGGAATGATGCCATGAAGGAGGAGATGAAGTCCATGAGAGACAATGACGTTTGGGATCTTGTACCATTGCCAGAAGGTGTGAAGCCCATTGGTTGTAAATGGATATTTAAAACCAAAAGGGATTCAAAAGGCAATGTGGAGAGATATAAGGCTCGTCTTGTCGCAAAGGGCTTTACACAGAAACAAGGCATTGACTATAAAGAGACTTTCTCTCCAGTTTCTTCGAAAGACTCTTTTAGGATTATAATGGCATTGGTGGCGCATTTCAATCTTGAGTTGCATCAGATGTGTTGACACCTAAATTTTAGCGACCATTTAGTCGTAATTTGTATAGAAAATTAGGGATTAAATTTTTAACCCCTAAACAAAAATATTTAGGTTGCATAACATATAGTTTAAATTCATTTTAGATTAATTGCATTTTGCATCGGACCGGCGGTGACGAACGAGCTTAAATTTCATCGAATGGGACTCGGCTCGCTTGGAATGCAAGGGCCGGGAATTACAAGTCAAACGGGCTCGGTTGTTTTAATTTGAGCTTAATTCAGCCCATTATCCTTAATTAATTCAGCCCATTTAAATTAAATTAAAATCTAAGCCTAAGTCTAAGCCCATTAGGACTAGGAAGCCCGGTTAATTAACCTAGGGTTGCGATATAAATATATCGTTATGCATCATAATCAAAGGGGGACTCTCATAATTTCCAGAACACAATTCCTGAGAGCACGAGAGAGATTGACGGCTGAAAAAGAAGAGAAGTTCTGTCCTCCCGCGGTGGTTCCTTTGGTGCTTGGCAACCATCCATCATCGCCGCACCAACGCTTCCGTCGTTCGAGAGATGCGGCCATTGAAGACCCACTGCCAAAGCAATAAAATCTAGTCAACACTAGACATGATCAAGCGATGGTTTTTGTCTTGATTGGTCCAAGCTGAGAGTGACAAAGGAGGGGAGATATTCACGAAGAAAAGAAAGGAAGTAGAGGCTGTGAATAAAAAAATCAAGTGAAGACAAAGGGGTGTTGCTGCTTTGCTGTTCGCTGGTCCAGTTTCTCGTTGCAGCTCTCGCCGTGCCGGTCTCTGTTTCCTATAGCGTTCTCAACATTCCACGAGCGTCCTTGAAGCTTTTCGCTGGTCTGGTTCGTTGGTGATCGTCCCGGTGTGTCAAGTGATCTCACTCAAACGGCAAGCTGAGTTATCTAAAGCTCTCGCTGGCCGCGTTGTGAGCACCTCACCGATACCGCGACACCGAGAAGTCTCCATCGACGGTCCTTGCCGTGGCACTGTACCTCTAGCCAAGGCGCCATTGTCCTTGTCACCGCAGCCGGTTGAGCCCCTCATCGACGGTCCTAGCCGAACCGCCACTGCGAACCCGCCAAGTTGCTGTTCAGCCGGTCATCGCCCCCGTCGTCTTCAACGCCCGTGAGCCACCGTGTCGTCGCCACCACCGCCGTCTCGATCCGCAAAGCCCGATCCCGATCCACAATTCGAATTTGGAAGTTATCTGCAAATTAGGTAATTCAACATTATCCGATATTTTCAGAATATTTAATTTCCTAATATGGGTGTTTGAATATTTCGTGAATATCATGTGGATATTTAGATATCTTAGGATAATGTTCGATATATCCGCAATATTTTTAAATATTCAAAATTAGGAAAACTTCCTAATTTAGCAACGTATCTGGACGACTATTCGACCTTATCCCTAAGGTTCGATATGCGGCGATACGGAAGATTATTATCCTATCCATAACCACTTGGGTACGATAATGATTTTTATCCGCTTTCCAAATTTGAATAATCGGCTTTCCGTCGATATCTATAACTCTATAGATATGACCGATAGTTTGATTTTTGTGCCTAATCCGAGTTTGAAACAAATATGGCGGATCGCGTGGACGTTTTGAATGTGGTTGCTATCCTTGTTTATTTAATTGCTTTCCTTTTTCAAATAAACAGAAAATTTGAAAAAATATTAATTAGATTTGAATTAGAGTTTTTGCATGTCTAGGAATCCTAAATATATCTAGAAGATAGAGTAGTTATTTAATTTAAATTAGGACTTGAGATGATCTATTTCCTAGTTTAAATTAAGTAATATTCTAATCTTAATAGATTATTCAGGTTATTCATTATTTCGAATTTTAACAAAAATCCTAAAGAGAAATCATGCTAGGGTAGATTAAGTCATCATAGTTTGCATGTTAATTTAGGCATTTTTATTATTCCGAATTTAAATTGAGAAAATACCAAAAATAATCATTCGTCCTGTCATTAGAAATAGGTCACGTCGTCGCACGACATATAGTTTGCATGCTAGGTTCCATTAATCGCATGTCATTTTCGCATGTCATTGCATATAGGCTAGATTTCATTTAAATAAGTGAAAATCCAAAAAAAGAAATTGAGTGAATTGCCTGTTAATTAGAAATCATATTAGGGTGTCAATGTGATTTTCTAGCTAACAATGCAGATGCTTACGTTGCTTCCAGGTAAGTAATTCTTCCAAACTTGCAATTTATTTAATGCTTTCTGGATGTTAAATTGGTGGCTTGCGCACTCGCATGAACACCTCACATGTTAGTAACTAAGTTGAAATGGATCCAAACTACCTGCCAAAACATTTTTGAAAAGAAAAGGTACCGAAAGGGCGTTAGACCAGATCTAGCGTAATCAAGTCCTCGGGCTTAGAATCTCTGGTTCGTAAAAATAAAACATATCTCCCTATGTTTTATTTAGGTTTCTAATCGACCTACCACAAATAGATTAGTGGCGACTCCAAGCATGAAAACTTTTGCATGTTAAAAACTTAAACCCTAAGTTGCGAATTGGTAGGGCTTGGGAGGGCCCGAGTTAGGTTTAGTCTTAACAATCCATTAGCCTGAGAGAAATTTTAGGTCGCGACAAGATGGATGTAAAGACAGCGTTTCTCAATGGTAACATTGATGAAATAATATATATGGTGCAGCCAGAAAACTTTGTATTTGAAGATCCAAAGAGTATGGTTTGCAAACTTAAGAAATCCATCTATGGGCTCAAGCAAGCATCTCGACAATGGTATTTTAAGTTTCATCAAGTGATCATCTCATTTGGCTTTGAGATGAATTTGGTTGATGAATGTATATACTATAAGTTCTGTGGGAGCAAGTACATTTTTCTGGTTTTGTATGTTGATGATATCTTGCTTGCCAGCAACGATATAGGCTTATTGCACGAAACCAAGAGATTTCTGTCTAATAACTTTGAGATGAAAGATCTTGGTGACGCCTCTTTTGTATTAGGTATACAAATACACCGGGATCGCTCTCGGGGTATTCTTGGATTATCACAAAAGAGCTATATCGAAAAGGTTCTCAAAAGGTATGGCATGCAAGATTGTAAACCAGGTGATACCCCTGTATCTAAAGGAGACAAGTTTTGTCTCAATCAGTGCCCTAAGAATGATTTTGAAAGAAAGG